GTTTGTATATGCACCCAATGCTTGAACATAGGTAGAGGTTCTCTGATACTTTTATCTGTGTACAGCTCACATCTCATTTTTCTTTCAGATTACAGTGTATTCAGTAGGGACCTACACTCAGCACCTCTTCCCCAGCCCATACCCTGCTTTTGGGCACACAGGGTATATGTAGAGCCCAGTGACTTGATATGGTCTACAAAGATGCATAAAGGCAGTTATTTAGTTTAAGACAAGGCAGAAAATTCACACAATGATTGATTGTATACTGTGTCACTCTCAGTGCAATCTCTGTGACCACCTGAGGATTGTGACCATGGAGATTCTACTAGATTCGTTTGTGTTCTCCCCAAGAAGTTCCCTAACCACCAGATTGCCATCTGTAGCCCTCTCTCTGCCAGTACCTATGGGCCCAGAGACTTGAGTGGCCCCCATGTTTTGGTGCTCCATTCTGTATTTGGTTGGATATTCTGTCTTCTGTGTCCTTGTTCCAGTCTATGGCATCCCCTTAAGCGGGACGCCTCATCTGTGGGGCCCCAGCTGTTTGGAGCCAGGAGAGAGACTCTTGATGCTTTCACTCTCCATTGGGCAGGCTTCATGGGAGTTTCCTGGATTGGAGACACGAGCCTGGCAGTACATTCTGTGCTTTCCCCATCACCTGTTCTGTGTTGCACCCAAGGCTTATCTCAGGAGGCATTTGAATCTCATTTGGCCAGAAATCTTTTTTGGCAATTTGTGAACTTGGTTGGACTCCAGTCTATCTTTTTCATTTCCAGGACATGCCCACATTGTTGATTTATGTGCCAGGACTGTGATTTCCCTTGGTCTCCTTTTTTTCCACTGTGATCTATCAATACTGTTGTAAGAATTGGCAACTTGAAAATATTTATTAAGGGCCTAACCACTTGACTCGTTAAAATTTTTTTTGGCTTTTTTTAAAATTTGAAAATAATACTGGAATAAAACATTTTTATTACAAAATATATAAGTAATAGAGATAGGAAAGCAAAGTCTGAAGCTTTCTGTATTAGTTGGGTAGCATGTAACAGAAAATCAAAACAACAGTGGCTTAAAATAGGAGTTTTATTTTCTATCCAATGAGAGAAACCCAGAGGTAGGTAGGCCAAAGCCCTTACATTAGCTTCATGAGGTCAACAGGGATAAATTTTCTCCTTTCTTTATGCACCTTCTGTCTTGGTGCAGTACCATCATTTTCTTTTCTTCTTTTTTTTTTAATAAATGTTTTTTTATTTCTGAGAGAGAGAGAGAGAGAGAGAGAGAGAGAGAGAGACAGTGTGAGCAGGGGAGGGTCAGAGAGAGAGGGAGATACAGAATCTGAAGCAGGCTCCAGGCTCTGAGCTGGCAGTCAGCACAGAGCCCCACGTGGGACTCGAATCCACAGACTGTGAGATCATCACCTGAGCCGAAGTCGGATGCCCAAACCACTGAACCACCCAGGCGCCCCAGTACCATCATTTTCTAAGTTGCTTCCTGGCTCAAAGTAGCTGTTGGAGTTCCAGTCCTATCATCTAGATTTACAGCAGAAAGGAGGAAGAAGGGGAGGGCAACAGAAAGAGCACATATTTGCTGTCTGCCTCACTTTAAAGGAGGGACAAATCTGTATACATTTTACTGCTCACTGGTAGCCAGTCATAGGCTAGAACTGGCTCATCCTTGGTCGTGAGAACCGATTGTTATATTCTCAGGAACTTTTTGTGAGCCAGTTAACCTCAACTTGATAGCTTGAAGTTGGCCAGAGCAGAGGAACTTAAACCAAAGAAATTGGTGTGAATAAACATTTACCAGTGAGAAACTGTCCCTGCTGAACAGCAGGATGGGGAAAGCAGTACTTTAACTGGATGAATTGTCACCCAGAATAAAATCAGAGTTTCGTTACAAAGGAAGAATAATGGGTAAGCAAATCCCTCTTTGCCACATTTTCCCTACTTCGTAGGGATTTCCCCCTTTCCATAGCATTTAGCATCTACTTCCCTCATCTAGGCCATGTATTCTTTTCTGCTTTTCAAATTATGCAACAGTAAACATCTTTTTACATATATAATTCTGCACATAAGCTAGTGTTTGTGGGCAACAGTTTCTTTGAAGTGGATTCTGTGGGTCAGAGGAAGGCCCCACTACTTACCACTTTACAAAGAGCACTATCAGATGGAGGTCTCTTTCCTTCTCATATAGTGTAGTGGAAAAGAATAAGGATTTTGGAACCAGACACACAGGGTGTGAACACAACATTTCCTAGCTGTGCGTGACCTGGACAAGTTACTTAACCTCTGTAGGCCTCTATTTTTTCCCTGGAAAATGGGGAGATACTGTTTGCCTCTGTAGGGGTTCTGTGACAGTGAAATAAATGAGACTGTCACTACAAAGCACTTACAGCAGAGCCTGGCAAGTTATTAATCCACAATAAATTGCAAGTAGGGGCTTCTGCACATAGAGAAGTGAGTTCGTACAAACATACAACATGAAGAGAGAAAGAAGGATAAAAACATCAATGTTAAAGCCAGGGCCATTCTGAGTAGTAGAGGTGAGTATCAGGTAGGAAAGGAGTGGATGTTTAGTACATATATTGGAAATTATTCCACTGCCCCAAGGGGCAGGTATAGTCTAATTGGTAAGAAAAACCTCAGAGTAAATCAGGCATGTCTCTAATCCATAAGCACATATTATAAATATATTTAAAATTATTTTTTTTAATTTTTTTTAAATGCTTTATTTATTTCTAGGAGAGAGAGAGACAGCGTGAGAAGGGGAGGGTCAGAGAGGGAGGGAGTCACAGACTGAAACAGGCTCCAGGCTCTGAGCTGGCGGTCAGCACAGAGCCCGATGCGGGGCTTGAACCCACGAACTGCGAGATCATGACCTAAGTGAAAGTCGGACACTTAACCGACTAAGCCACCCAGGCACCCCTAAATATATTTAAAATTATTTTTATGACTCTTCAGTTTTACATTTCTCTAGCACACGAGGTGCTTGAGTTGTGGAAGTTGACAAAAATCACCATAAATGTTCTCTTTCTCCCCCAACTGTATTGAACATTGCACAGATGTGTAGTTAAGTATTTATTATGAACATGCAAATATTGATGTCCCTAAGGCCCAGTCTTTGATTTTCAAACTGCTGTTGCTATATTTGGAATTGTTGATTAATACAGGTCTTTGCTCTGACACACAGCATGTCTGACTTCAGGGCTGCTGACAGCAGTAGCAAGAAGAAAGGAGAAGCCAAAAGTTGATGCTTAGAGGGTTGGACAGTATTTGAGGATGGGAGAGTTGCTTTGGGAAAATGCAGCAGGCAGCGAAATCTGTGAGATAGTTAATGATGTGCCTAGCACAGAGCTTTGCATATGCTAAGTTTTCGGTAAATCTTTGCTCATGTAAAGAAACTTACGTGGAAAACAAACAACCATAATGAAATAATTCTTTCACACTAGACGAACATTTCTCAGTCTTGGCGCTATTAATGTTTTGGGCTGGCTAGTTCTTGTTGTGGGAGCTGTCTTGTGTGTTGTACGGTGGGTAACACATCTCTGGTCTCTGCCCTCTAGGTGCCAATAGTGTGGCCCTCCCCAGGTTGTGATCACAAAAAATGCCTTCAGATACTGCTAAATGTCTCCTATGGGGGCAGGATGCAAATTGCCTCTGCTGAGAACCGCTAGGCTAGAAGAAAAGAACTAATATATATTAAAGAATACATATGTGCCACATGTTTAACTCATTTAATTATTGCAACAATTCTGAGTTGCAGGTGTTGCTGAAGTCATTTTTGCATAAAGAGGTGGAAAGAGGTTAAAAACATGGCCTGAGGTTAGATGGACCTTCTTAATGTGATGTTCTTTTGCTTGTACTTCTCTCCCTGTTAACACAGGCAGATGAACACAGTACTGCTTCTCTTCTTGGCACTAAAAGCTCAGACTTGACTTCTTTATAAAAACACTTACAAATGCACTGTTTGCAAAGAGTCATAGACTTCTTACCTTTGGGTCATTGATTTGGTTGGGTTTATGTATTGCAGAGTATGAACTGGGCTGTTCCTCAGTGGAGGATCACAGATAAACAAAGGGGTATGCAGTCATCTTAGCTTTCTCAGGGCTGAGGGTCTCCAGTGAGAGCTCAGACAAGGTCCAGGGAGAGATTGTTTTGGAAGGGACCTACCCAAGAACTGTGACATTGTCTGTGGGGAAGGTGGCTTCTGCCTCTCTGATCTCAGGGATATTTAGTAAACCAAGTGGATTTTCTTTTGGGGAACACTGAGGCCATCTGTTTGTCTTTATAATCTTATTGCAATTTATTTAGATTTTAAACCTTGGTCCTGGCAAAAGGGGTTTTGTTTTGAGCTCTTGATGCTGATTCTGTGGCGTGTGATATAGGGGAAGAGACTTTCACTGTCATTTGGTGAGGCAGTGGTCCAGAGAAGAGAATTTGGGGGTATTGTTAAAATTACATAGCAGTAAAAATGATAACTTCCTGTAGATACGTGTGAACAGTGCACTACATTGCTTTTTTAATGGAGCTAGGGCATGTTGGGAGGGGGTCAGGAAATAAATAAAATTATTGTTAATTCCACCGCCGTTTATGCCATCAAGAGAAAATAAACCAATAAAAGAACTAAATGTTGGCAATCCATAAAATTCCATAAGTGGTAATAAAGAAAAACTGAAACTATATTGATATACAACCAAACAAGGTAATTATCATTATTTTTTAATAAAGTCATTTATCATCAATAAATACCAACGGGAATAGGAAAAATTACAAGCACAACAATGCCATCTTCCATAATTATAGCTATTAACAATTTAAAGCATAATTATGTGAGGAAGAAAAACTTTTAGGGAACATTTGTGCTGTTTTCTGCACAGAGAAGTCAAATTCTCACATTTCCAAATAGTCAGGATTCTGTAAACATTCTTGAATGCTTCTCTCAACTTAGAGTAGCTTGTTTTCTAATGATCTTTTATCTGAGTCCTTCCTACCTGTCCATTTCAGAGTTGGCCAGCAGCCCTGGAGGAAAGGCTGGGATCCAGGAAATGACATATATGGTAATTATCTGTCCATTTCCTAAATGTCACTAGTCAAGAGAACTTTATTTAGCAGAAAGGTTGGGTCGGGGAATCAGGGGTCTCATTTATTTAATCTGGGCAAACCCTGATTAAGCAGCTACTATTGCCTAAATATCTATAACTCAGGCCCTGGGGGTACAGAGAGGAATTAAATGCTGGTTTACTTTATTTTATTTTATTCTTTTTTTTTGCCGCTGTGCACCTTACACTCTCAAAGAGGGACATGTCTGCTCTCAGTGTTAAGAGGCAAGGTAGCAGAGTGGTTAAAAATATACCTTAAGGCCTACTAGCCATATCAGTTCTGCCACTTACACCTGTGGCACTTTGCACAGATTAATTAACATCCCTATGCCTTACTATCCTTATCTGTGAAACAGAGATGATACAAGTACCTAACCTATAAGTTGTTAGGAGGACTAAATGAATTGATATATAAAAAGTGCTTGGCACGTAGTGAGTACCAGATAAATTAGCTGTCACTTAACCCAATTGGGTTAAGTCCCCCTATGATTAGGTACTTGGGGTCTGGTACAGTAGCAGCAATTTGGGTAGTTGGGTGTGTTGGGTCTGATGCAGTAATAGTGTAGTTCTCTCTGGTGGTCATGAAAAGTGCTGTGGACAAGATGATGACTGTGTTGAGTGTTAAAGGGTGAGAGCAATAGGAATGGGTATCCTACACAGTGGAAACCACAGAAGCAAAAGCATGAATTCAGAAACTTGGATGTAATGGTATACCTGGGCATAAATGAGGTGTATTCTAGCATGACAAAATTGAACTGGTGGCAGACAAGAGTTGAGGCTGCAGGGTCTCTGATTTGGCAGAGTCTGGGTCATAGAGGCTTGACTTTTTTTAGGACAGGAACCCTGCATTGAAGGATATTACACGTGAAGGTGATGGTTATATTAGCAATTTAGATCCATCTTGAGGCCAGAAGGCAGTGCTGAGGTGCTCTAACCAGTGGGATGGGAGCCAGAGGGAATGGTCAGGGTCACTTTTGGCATTTTTATGGTTAGGATTTGTACCCAGTAGGGCAGTATTTCAGCAGGGTTATGCATGTTTGTTGGAAATAAACATCTGGACTGATTGAGTCTCGGTTTAATTGTGGTAGTCATTAGTGCTCTTTGGCAAATATCCCAGTTCTTCTCCACTTCCAGGCACATGTATAAACAAATGGTAGGATTGTATTTTCTGGTCCCCTTGTGTGAATGTGGTCATGTGAATGATTCTGGTGCAGGAGTTGTAAGGAAAAGTGATGTGTTACTTTGGAACCAGATCATTTAAATTGCTAGTGTAAGATCCTTTAGAGCTTGTTCATTTCCCTTATTAGAGTGACCAGCATCATTCCAGATAGAGTCTGCTTCATCAGCCGGGTCCCACAGGGAGGATGCAGTAGAGCAGAACTCCCAGCTGACTCCTGATGAACAGGGAGCCTGAGTGGGAAAAACTTTGATGGTTTAAAGCCAGGGGCCAAAAGGCAAACTTTGTAAAGAGCCAGGTAGAAAATATCTTGGGCTTTTGGTTTGCAGGCCATACAGTCTGTGTCAAAACTACTCAAGTCTGTTAAACCTAGAGAATATGTGAACAAATGGGGATGGCTATATTCCAGTAAAGCTTTATTTACAAAAATAGTAGGCTGCAGGCCACTCCTACTTAAGGCATATTTGCGGGCTGTTTGTTACTACTTAATTGTTAGCTTAATCTAGTATTCTAGCTAGGTTTTCTTATTTTTTTTCATAAGCAAATTTTATTTTTTATTTTATTATTTTTAAGTTAAGAAAAAATTTATGTGAACTGAAATGCACAGATCTTAGGTGTACTTTTCAGTGATTTTAATAAACTTGTAACCACACCCAGTCAGGAAACAGAACATTTCTATCACTTCAGAAACTTCCCTTTTGCTCCTTTACAGATCGATACTCCCCATACCCTTGATAGACAACTACTGTCCTGTTTGTGGACTTCATATAAATGAGATCATATAATAGGTACAGTTTTGTGTCTGTGTTTTTCAATATAATGTTTCTGACTTTTACTCATGTTGCACATATCAGAAATCTATTCCATTCTATGAATATATAATACTTTTCTTGATGGTTGTTTATAGTTTTTGGTTATTAATAAAAATTATTATAAATGTAATTTCTTTAATAAATGTAAGGCTATTGAGATTTTCTATTTCTTCTTGTGTCATTTTCATTAAGCTGAATTTTTTCAAGGACTTTGTCTATTTCATCTAAATTGTTAAATCTTTGGCATACTCTCTTATCATTTAAATGTCTGTTAGACTCTTTAGTGATAGCCCATTTTCATTTGTGAATTGGTCTTTTTTTCTTCTTGATCAGTCTTGCTAGTAGTTTATGAACATTTTAGCAGCTTTATTGAAGTCAATTTGCATTCCATAAAATTATCCATTTTAAATGTATAGTTCAGTGATTTTTAGTAATACTGCATTAATACTCCATCACCACAATCTAGTTAACAAAGCTTTTGTTACCTTTTAAAAAAATCCCTCCTACTCCATTTTAGTCACTCCCTGTTCCCATCTCCTGCTCTAAATACGAGTAAACTAGTTTCTGTTTCTGATTTGCTTTTCTAGATATTTCATATGAATGGAATCATATAATATGTGGTCTTTTGTATCTGGCTTCTTTCATTTAGGATAATACTTTTGAGATTCACCCATGTGTGGCATGTATCAGTCCTCTTTTTATCGCTCTGTGGTGTTTCACTGAATGGATATAGACCATTTAGTTTTATTAGTTGATGGACTTTTAGGTTGTTGGGGCATTGTGAATAATGGTGCCATAAATACTTATGTACAAGTGTTTGTCTGGACATATGCTTTAATTCACTTGAGTGTTAGATACCAGGAGTAGAATTGCTGGGTTATGTGGTAAATTTGTTTAACTTTTTAAGAAACTGCCGGACTGTTTTCTAAAATGGCTGTGCATTTTCTATTACCAGTGTCAGAGTGTGAGAGTTGCAATTTTTCCCTATCCTTCCAATATTTGTTATTGTCTGTCTTTTGATTTTAACTATTTTAGTGAATATGATTATTTTCCATTGTAGTTTTAATTTGCATTTCCCTAATAGCTAATGATGTAGAGAAGTTTTTTATACATACACAAATGTGCTTATTGGCCATTTGTATATCTTCTTTGGAGAAAGGTCTATTCAGATCCTTTGCCCATTTTTAAATTGGTTTGTCTTCTTATAATTGAGTTGTACATCTTCCTTATCTATTATGGGCACAATTTTTATATCAAGTATACATAATTGATATATTATGTATATCAAATATTGTCTCCTAGTCTGTATCATGTCTTTTTATTTTTTTGCAATGATATATTCTGACATAGAGAAGTTTTAATATTGATGAGGTCCAGCTTACTAAGATTTGCTCTTACTGATGTTGCTTTTGGTGTCCTATATAAGACGTCTTTGCTTGGCTCAAAGTCATGAAGGTTTCTCCTGGGCTTATAAATTAATGTTTTAAAAGAACTAGCTTTTGGATTTCTTTTCTGTTTTGTTAATCTGCTTTTTAATTTATTGATGTCTGCTCTTTTTATTTACTTGGCTATATTTTGTAAGTTATTAATATGGAAACTTAGATCACGATTTTAATTTTTTTATGTTCCAATATAAACATTTAAAAGTATAAATATTCGTAAGCACCACATTAGCTACATTCATTATATTATGCTATATTGTATATTAATGTATTATTGTATATTGCATATTAATATACAATATTAGCAAAATATTTTTTAGTTTTTCTTGTAATTTTTTCTTTCATCCATGATGTTTTAGAAGAGAGTTGTTTAATTTTCAAGTATTTTGGATTTTTCCAGATACTGTATTTTTTATTGAATTCCAACTTAATTATGTTTCCAGAGAATAATTTCTTTTTTTTTTAAATTTTTTTAATGTTTTATTTAATTCTAGGAGATAGAGACAGCATGAGCAGGGGAGGGTCAGAGAGAGAGGGAGTCAGAGACTCTGAAACAGGCTCCAGGCTCTGAGCTGGCAATCAGCACAGAGCCCGACGCGGGGCTCGAACCCACGAACGCGAGATCATGACCTAAGCGAAAGTCAGACGCTTAACCGACTAAGCCACCCAGGCGCCCCCAGAAAATAATTTCTTGAGATTATATGACAGTAGAGCATGTGGTGGATCTTTATGAGTATACCTTACATACCTGAAAATAATGTGTATTCTAGTTATTTAGTATAGCATTATACAAATATTAAACCATTTGTTTAGTAAGTGTGTTCAAATCTATATCCTTACCAGATTTTGTTTTGTCAAGTGGTTCCATCAGTTACTGAGAGGGAAGTGTTCATTTTTAAACCATGATTGTGGATATGCTAGTTTCTTCTTTTAAATCTGTCTAGTTTCTGTGTCATTTTGAAGCTTTGTATTATGTGCACATACATTTATGATCTATATGTCCTCTTGATCTGACCTTTTAATCATTATGAAACATCTCTGTATCTCTAATGATACTGTTATGAAGTTTACGTCATCTGATATTAGTGTAGCTGTACAACCCTTTTTTATCCTTACATTTTCTTTCTTTTTCTGTTAATGACTTTCCTTTTTAAAAATTTTTTTTCCTTAAATAGTTTATTGTCAAGTTGGTTTCCATATTAACAACGAGTGCTCATCCCAACAAGTGCCCTCCGCCATGCCCATCACCCCCCTTCCCCTCTCCCCCACCCCCTCTCAGCCCTCAGTTTGTTCTCAGCATTCAAGAGTCTCTCATGGTTTGCCTCTCTCCCTCTCCCCAACTATTTTTCCCTTTCTTCTCCCACTTCGTTTTCTAGAGTATATATTTTTCCAATCTTGTACCTTAAACCTATTTTGTATTTGTAGTGTAAATGTATTCTTAGAGAAAGCATTCTTTTTTTTTTACAAATAGTTTATTGTCAAATTAGTTTCCACATAACACTCACTGCTCATCCCCACAAGTGTCCTCCTCCATGCCCTTCCCCCCTCCCCCCCACATCCATCAGTCCTCAGTTTTTGTCAGCATTCAAGAGTCTCTCATGGTTTGCCTCTCTCCCTTTCCCCCACCATTTCCGCCCTTCTTCTCCCCCTTGGTCCTCCGTCAAGTTCCTCCTAATCCTCCTATACGTGCAGACATATGATATTTGTCCTTCTCTGCCTGACTTATTTCGCTCAGCATAACACCCTCAAGGTCCATCCATGTTGCTACACATGGCCAGATTTCATTGTTTCTCATTGCCATGTAGTATTCCATGGTATAGATAAACCACATCTTCTTGATCCATTCATCTGTTGATGGACACTTAGGCTCTTTCCATGTTTTAGCTATTGTGGAGAGTGCTGCTATGAACATTGGGGTACGTGTGCTCCTATGCATCAGCATTTCTGTATCCCTTGGGTAAATTCCTAGCAGTGCTATTGCTGGGTCCTAGGGGAGTTCTATTGTTAGTTTCCTGAGGAACCTCCACACTGTTTTCCAGAGGGGCTGTACCAGTTTACATTCCCACCAACAGTGTAGGAGGGTGCCTGTTTCTCCACATCCTCGCCAGCATTCTATAAGCTTTCTATAGCCTGAGCCTTGATGTTTTATTCCTCTCTTCCCTTTAATCATAGTATTTGGCCATTTGCATTTCATATAATTATAAATTTGAGATTATGTCTACTGTTTTATAAAATATTTTTTGTTCCGCTTTTACAGTATCTTTGTTTTTTTATTGGCCTTTAAAAAAAGATAAATGGGGGCCGCCTGGGTGGCTTAGTGAGTTAAGCGTCCGACTTTCGCTTAGGTCATGATCTCGCGGTTCGTGGGTTCGAGCCCCGCATCGGGCTCTGTGCTGACTGCCAGCTCAGAGCCTGGAGCCTGTTTCAGTCTGTGACTCCCTCTCTCTCTGACCCTCCCCTGTTCATGCTGTCTCTCTCTCTCTCTCTCTCCTAGAAATAAATAAAACATTAAAAAAAAAAGATAAATGGAATACTTTTTAGTATTATATTTTAATTCCTCTTAAAAGTTTTTAACTATTTTCTTTTTTGTGTTTCCTCTAGAAATGAAAATTTGCACTTTCAATTTTGCTTAATTTTCCTACGGTCTATTCAGAATTAACATTGTATAACTTCAAATAAACGTAGCAATTCTGAAACACTTTAATTTCATTCCCCTCATTTTGTGTGCTATTTTGTCATACATTTTGCATCTATATAATGAATTATGTGATGCATTATTGTCATTTTTGTATTAAGCTGTTAGCTTACATTTAAAGGGATTAAGACAAAAATAATTTTATATAAAATTAAATGTAAATATTTACCACTTTGGATATTCTGTATTCCTCCTGTAGATACAAGTTTCCATCTGGTAACACTTATGTTAAGTATTAATGGAAGCGTTATTTAGTGTAGTCAGGTCAGCAGGTGATGAATTCTCTGTGTTCATATGTCTGTAAAAATCTTTTTTTAGTCTTCATTTTTGAAGGATGGTTTTGTGGCATAAGGAATTCTGGATTGTTAGGTTATTTTTTCCTCAGTGTTTTAAAGATCTGTTTCATTTGACTTCTTATAGCCATTGTTTCTTTTTAAAAATTTTAAAAAATGTTTATTTTGAGAGACAGAGGACAAGCAGAGGAGGAGCAGAAAGAGGTAGAGAGAGAGAGAGAGAGAATCCCAGGCAGACTCTGCACTGTCAGTGCAGAGGCCAATGTAGGGATTTAGCACATGAACCTCAAGATGAGTGACCTTGAGCTGAAATCAAGTCTCTTGCTCACCTGACTAGGCCACCCAGGTGGACTGACAGCCATGATTTCTAATGACAGGCCAGCCATCACTTGTTGTTCCCTGAATGTAATGTGTCTTTGTCCTCTGGATACTTTTAAGATTTTGTTCTGGGAGCACTGAAGTGGTTTCCTTTGTGTTTGTCCAGCTTCCAATTTTTGAAAGCTTTTTTAAATCACTTTGTAGTTGTTTCCCCCCCAAATTGAGAGA